GTGTTCTATAAGAGAAGCCAGTCGTCGAACGAGACCGTGGCAGAGTTCGTGGGGGCTCTGCGTAAAGCTGCAAGGCCTTGCAGCTTTACCAACGTGGAGGAGGCCCTCCGAGACCGGCTGGTTTGCGGCATGCGAGATGAACGATTGCAGCAGCGATTATTCGCAAAGAAGACCCTAACGTGGGCCGATGCCTATGCAGAGGCCGTCGCCGCTGAAGCCGCTGACAAATCAACGCGAGAGGTGCGACAGCGTTTAGCCTCCACCGAGGTGCGACAGCGTTTAGCCTCCACCAAGCTGCGTGTCCACCACCAGGGGGCCGACATTGAAGGCGGAGATGCGCATGAGGACATCTGCGTCGTCGGCAAGCAAGCGGACAAGCGGACCCCACCGAAGACTGCATCCAAGCCAAGCTGCACCGGTTGTGGCGGGAAGCACCCAAGGGAGAGCTGCTGGACTCGGGACGTGGATTGCCGGAAGTGTGGCAAGCGAGGCCACATCGCCCGTACCTGCAGAGCATCCAAGGCGTCTCCTCGACGGTCTTCGCCCAGGAACCAACGTCCCTGAGCAGCGCAACGCGAGGCCAGCTGCCCGATGACCTCCAGCGTGACTTCGCAGCCATCTGTGCGACGCGTTGGAGGGGCCAGCAAGATACAGGTGACCGTCCACCTCGACGGAGTGCCGTGCAGCATGGAGGTGGATTCAGGATCGTCCGTGACCGTCCTGTCGTCCCATGCGTAGCAGAGGATGTTCCCCACCAGGAGCCGACGGCGGCTGAAGCCGGCAGACACACAAGTGTCTGATTTTCAGGGCAAGCGCATACCTCTGGCCGGGAGGGATACGTTTGCGGTAGAGTATAAGGGGAAATGTGCTCAACTGTCTTTGCTTGTGGCAGAGGGTAACCGAGTTAACCTTTTGGGCCTTGATTGGTTTGAACCCCTTAGTATTGGCATTACTGGTGTGAACAAAGTGGAACCAACTAAATGGGCTGTACTGTACAGTGAATTTGCTGATGTGTTCGGGGGTGGTCTTGGAAGATATAAGGGGCCCCCAGTGTCGTTTGAACTTGATCCCGCGGTGACGCCAGTGCGCCTCAAATATAGGAAGGTTCCTATCCCGCTAAAACCGAAAATTGAAGCTGAGCTAGACAAGCTCATTGAGCAGGGGGTGTTAGAGCCAGTCCCATTCAGCAAATGGGAAACACCTATTGTAACCCCAGTTAAACCGGACGGATCAGTGCGTATATGTGCTGACTATAAATGCACAATAAATCGAGCATTACAGCAGCACTCATACCCTGTACCGGTGATTAGCCATGTTTTGGCTTCATTGGGAGGGGGGAAGGTGTTCGCAAAATTTGACCTTGCCCAGGCTTATCAGCAGCTCCCAGTGACTAAGGAAGCTGCTGAAGCACAAACGATAGTAACTCACAGGGGGGCTTTCAGAGTAAATAGACTTCAGTTTGGAGTAAATGTTGCCCCCGGGATTTTCCAGGGACTCATGGAAGGGTTACTGAGAGGGGTGCCAGGAACGGTCCACTATTTCGACGACGTTCTTATTGCTGGGAGGTCTGATGAAGAACTCTTGCGCAGAGTCAGAGAAGTGCTCAAGCGCTTCAGTAAGGCTGGGTTAAAGGTAAAGCAGTCAAAATGTCTGATTGGGGTTCCTAGCGTGGAATTCCTAGGTTTCAGGATTGACCAAGATGGAGTGCACTCCACCGATGACAAGGTGCGGGCCATTCGTAGTGCCTCAAGCCCTAAGAATAAAAAAGAGCTGCAATCATTCCTGGGGCTGCTCAATTTTTACCACGCCTTCCTTCCACACAAGGCGTCGGTAGCGGCTCCATTGCATGCACTCCTACACAAGGACGCAAAATTGCGGTGGGGTGCCGAGCAACAAGGGGCGTTTGAAAGTGTGAAAGCTTTACTGTCATCTAATGCTGTTTTGACACACTACGATGATACGAAACTGTTGGTATTGGCGGCGGACGCCTCCCCATTTGGAGTGGGGGCCGTCCTGAGCCACGTAATGGAGGACGAACGGGAAGCTCCCGTCGCGTTCTACTCTAAATGATACGAAACTGTTGGTATTGGTGGCGGACGCCTCCCCATTTGGAGTGGGGGCCGTTCTGAGCCACGTAATGGAGGACGGACGGGAAGCTCCCGTCGCGTTCTACTCAAAATCACTGACCGATGCCGAAAAAAACTATGCACAAATTGATAAAGAGGGACTGGCGCTGGTATCGGCAGTGAAGAAATTTCATGACTTTTTGTACGGCCGACATTTCCTGCTAGTAACGGACCACAAACCGTTACTCGGGATCTTTGCCCCGGACCGGCAACTCCCGAACATTATGTCGGCCCGTATGCTCCGTTGGGCCCTGTTCTTGTCAGCGTATGACTACGACTTGGAGCACCGACCGGGTAAGGCCATCGGACACGCGGACACTTTAAGTCGCTGCCCTCTGCCCGGCCGGGATTTGGATCCAGCACCAGCGTGCTCCGTTTTGGCCCTCGAGGAGCTTCCACAGGCTCCTGTTACAGCAAGAGACATTGCCGCTGCGTCGGCTAAGGACACTGTACTCTCCAGAGTTTTAAACTGGGTTTGGAGGGGGTGGCCGTTGGGAGCTGTGGAGCCGGAATTTCGAAATTTCAAAGCGCGCCAAAATGAGTTATCTGTTTCAAAAGGCTGTCTGTTATGGGGGAACAGGGTGGTGGTGCCCAAATCCCTACATCAGAAAGTGCTGAAATCGCTTCATGAGGGCCATCCAGGCATGGTCCACATGAAGGCACTGGCCCGCGGCTATGTGTGGTGGCCCAGGCTGGATGCCGAAATAGAAGACTGGGTTCGGGTGTGTGAGCCGTGTCAGCAGGCTAGGCCTGA